GGGATAACATCCCAGTACATAGTCGTATTGTGATCAAAAGCCTCAACTACCAACATATGTGCTAAATAATTTTGTGATCTAAGAATATAAATTACTGAGCAATAAGTAAACATAGCCATAGTAGTCCTGCAGTCATCAAGGGCGTAACCAAGATAGGATCTTGGTTGAATTGCCGAGGAGGCTAAATATGCCTGAAGTGTCTGGCAGTCTGTGAACAACTCAACTGACGGTTCGCCACGTGCCCTGAGCCATGATAAAACTTCCTTGCACGCAAGAGCCTCGGCCATAAGCGGTGAGAAACAGTTTTGTAAGGGTGCGGCGTACGGTGAGATGTACCCGCCGTGCGCATCGAATAGCACTGCGCCAATTGTGGCGGTTTTGAACTGGGGTCGAAACCCAGCGTCTACAAAACAGCGGATTGGCTCCGCTACTCCCATTCCAGTAGCAGCGACAATGGGGGGCAGCGGCGGCATCGGCTGTGATCGGCGGGGGGGGGGGGGGGGGGGGGGGGATTGCTGCACCGGCAGTGGCATGGTTGGTCAGCTGTGAGGGAACAGCCACATGTACCTGCTGCCACGCATGCATGGACGCTATGGCCATCGCAATAATCTTCCTCGGCCTTGGCAGGCATGCATTCCAAAAGGCATCGTTCCGGGCTCTCCAAATGTTGTATAATATCCCGGGTGCAAACAATATCCCATTAGCATCTAGAACATTTAGGATTACTCTAAACCATTCGTAGAAAATATTCGTTACAAAATGGGGAAGTGGAAGGTTAGATTGATCCCAAATGGACTTAGCATAATCACACAACACTAATGCATGTATTGTGTTATCATCCATAACTCCACACATAGCACATATTGGGCTAATTTCCACCCTCTTTATAAGCAAATTGTTTGTGGTAGGGAGGATATTGAACAAGAAGAAATTTTAAAAATATTTGTTGTTAGTCGGTTCAATATAAAAAAGAAACAATTTTTAAGACAAGTCACAAATTGAATACTAAACCAACAAGAAGACGAGCCAAAGGGTAGAACTAAACCAAAGGGCAAAAGATTGAGGGATTGTTAATTTAATAATCACAAGTTATATAAGTTCAACTCTCGAGCGTAATTTATTAATTTTCTTGATTTGAACCAGTCAGTCTACAACTAGATGTATTGAGGGCAAAAATAGTAAATAAACTTTTCATCAGAGAACTTTTCATCAGAGCTCAAATGAGAAGGAATTGAGAGCAATGTACCACTTGGCAAATACTTCTATAATATTAATAATAATAATAATAATAAAAAGTGGGGAGAGAAGAAAAACACAAGAAATGCTTGTTCACCATAATTGAAACATGTGCTCCATCTCAACTAAAAGCTTAAGCTGATAGTTGGATTGCACATTAATGGCTATGTGCTCACACGCCCCCTCACGTGTGCGGTGGGTTCCAAGCAACACGTGGACCGATAAACCGTAGTCGCTTATGAGTGGCGCTGAGATTCGAACCCATGACCTTTGGTTTGGCTCTGATACCAAATTGAAGCATGCGTTCAATATAGGTAAAGAATCTACGTTGGAGGGATTTGAGTAGATGACTCCGACGGCGCCGACCTCGCTTGCTTTGTCTACTAATACGAGGTTTCTATCGAGGTCATCGCCGAACATGAAGACGATTTTGCCTTTAACTTCAGCGGGATCAAGCTTTCTCGGCATCAAATCGGCCTCGCCCATGTATTTGGCTCTGATACCAAATTGAAACATGTGTTCCATCTCAACTAAAAAGCTTAAGCTGATAGTTGGATTGCACATTAATTGCTATGTGCATGTGCTCACACGCCCCCTCACATGTGCGGTGGGTGCCTTTAACTTCGGCGGGATCAAGCTTTCTCGGCATCAAATCGGCCTCGCCCATGTATTTGGCTCTGATGCCAAATGGGCCGATGTATTTGGCTCTGATACCAAATTGAAACATGTGCTCCATCTCAACTAAAAAGTTTAAGCTGATAGTTGGATTATACATGCCCCCTCACGTGTGCGGTGGGTTCCAAGCAACACGTGGACCGGTAAACCGTAGTCGCGGTTCTGATACCAAATTGAAGCATGTGCTCCATCTCAACTAAAAGCTTAAGCTGATAGTTAGATTGCACATTAATGGCTATGTGCTCACAACCATCACATGAATGCCTGAGTCATAATAGAAAAATGCAACATAACCTTCATTGCAAAGCATTAATGAAAACAAAATTTGTTATAGAGCAATATTATGGAGAGCTCAAAAGTAAAACTGATTCTTAATCACAAGCCTTGAGAAACAAAATTGAAAAACAGTTGCAAACAAATAATTCATTGTAATACAGACACAACAATATCTCTACTCAAATACATTATCTGCTAAAACATTCCATGATCCTTAATAGTATCTTAAGGAATAACTAGATTTAGTACTTAATCACAAGCCTTGAGAAACAAAATTGAAAAACAGCTGCAAACAAATAATTCATTGTAATACAGACACAACAATATCTCTGCTCAAATACATTATCTGCTAAAACATTCCATGATCCTTAATAGTATCTTAAGGAATAACTAGATTTAGTACTTATAATAGTATATCTTAAGGAATAACTAGATTTAGTACTTAACCGAGGTAAGGATGTCAAGTTGGGAACCGAGTTTCTCCTCTGCAGCCTTCTCAGCTTTGATCCTAAGCTTTGTCAATTGCTTCTTCCTCTCATATGCTGCTTGGGCCCTCTCCTTCCTCTTATTCTCTAGAACCTGTTGTCCAGACGGAAGATGAGTAATTACACAAATTTGAAGGGTGACCAGTTATTTAATTTATGTTTTAGCACTAATTGTAACCAAGCAGTTAAAATTCAAAGTTATAAACAATATTCTTGAACAATCACAAGAGTTCAAAGCAACATAGGATGACACCGTAGTACATACAAAATCAGAATAAAAATGAAAGCAGCATAGTACATATGATTATTCAAAGTGTATAATGTTAGCTTGAATATTAGATATTGCTTAGATTAATCCCCCTTCAAAAAATAATATTAATATCTAGGCATTTAGCACACACATAACAAGGCATCATATAAAAACAAGGACTAAACATTCAGCTGAAAATGTTTGACTTATAACCAAAAAAAGCTAAATCCCATCATACTGCAATTCATAAGTCAGAACCCTAGGAAAAGTACTAACTCTACTACCATGTATGAACATAGTTAGTTACAACATGATAGGAGATAGGGTAGGAGTGAGGATTACCTGTCAGGGCATCAACATACCAATTTAATGTTAAAACTTTAAATAATTTAATGTTAAATGCACTTTTTTTGGATGACAAGTATAACCTCTAGCCACTACCCGAGGGTGTGCACGGGATAAACCCTGACCCTAACCGGCAAAGGACAACAAGGAAGTAAACTAACTTAAGTTGCCTATAGCTAACGGGCTCAAACCAAGAAAGTCAATAAGCCGCTCCAGTTGGCAATCGAACTCACATCCTTGAGGTTACTAAGTACAGTCAATAGTCAATAGCCAATAGTGGGGGGGGGGGGGGGGGGGGGGGGGGGGATTGTATTCTATACATACCAATGTGCAGGGATGGGACAGGAAAAAGAAGGATGAAGAACAAGGAAAAGTCACAGGGGACGGATTATCAGCCCCCTATATAAACTCCCTTTGGGTCTCCATGCCAATACCACATATCATCATAGGCAGGACTAATGGTGCAATAATTATTTTTTAGATGGAATTATTTAAAGAGTAAATGATTAGTTTTTAGATGGAATTATTTAAAGAATAATGTTAAGTACTTCTCATAAAAAAACTTAGATTAATTTAGTATTTAATTAAAAGTGGGGGTGGTTATTCAATTCATGGCACCACTGAATATAAATTGCATTAAGGGGAGGAAGGAAAATAGCATTTTCCTCATTTAAATTCCATATTAACAATATAAATGTATTTTCAAACTTACACTCAATTTCTACCTCACATGATGAAGATGTGCACAATTGCTACTTGAATATGCGTTTTAAGTTCAACCCGTTTTAAAACCTTAGTCAATAAAGGATCATAAAAAGATAAATCAATTTAGCTCATTAATAACTGATCCGCTCAAATCGAACAAATATTTTGTTTATGCTTGAACCCAAAAAAAAAAAAAAAAAAAAAAAAAAGTAATGGTTCGGGTGAAAGGTCAATTCAACCCAAAAAGAGAAACCCAGCTAGTCTCAAAAGTAATAACTTACAACTGAACTACTCCAATACCGTACACATCATGTCTAAACTCATCCCTTTTGTTGTTAGTCGGTTCAATATAAAAAAAAAAAATTACAACTGAACTACTCCAATACCGTACACATCATGTCTAAACTCATCCCTTTTGTTGTTAGTCGGTTCAATATAAAAAAAAAAAAAAAGAAACAATTTTTAAGACAAAAGTCACAGATTGAAAGTTAGTCGGTAATGGTTGATTTAATAATCACAAGTTATAAGTTCTCAACAGGAGCAATTTATTAATTTTCTTAATTTGAATCAATCAATTATGGATAACTTAGACTTATTTATCTCCTCAGATAGTACATGATTTTCCACATCAAGACTGCAATTAGATGTTGAGGGCAAAAATAGTAAATAAAATTTATTAATTTTCTTGATTTGAATCAATCAATTATGGATAACTTAGACTTATTTATCTCCTCAAATAGTACATGATTTTCCACATCAAGTCTGCAATTAGATGTTGAGGGCAAAAATAGTAAATAAAATTTCCATCGAAGCACAAATCAAAGAAATTAGGAGCAATGTACCACTTGGCAAATACTTCTATAATAATAGTACTAAATTAAATTATTATTATTATTATTATAAAAGAAAAAAAAAAAAGGGAAAGAAGGAAACACACGAAATGCATGTTAACCTTCATTACAAAGCATTAATGAAAACAAAATTTGTTATAAAGCAATATTATATTATGGAGAGCTCAAAAGTAAAACTGAAAAACAACTGCAAACAAATAATTCGTTGTAGGTAACCAAAAAATTGCAATACAAACACAACAATATCTCTGCTCAAATATATTATCTGCTAAAACATTCCATGATCCTTATTTAGTACTTAACCGAGGTAAGGATGGATGTCAAGTTGGGAACCAAGTTTCTCCTCTGCAGCCTTCTCAGCTTTGATCCTAAGCTTTGTCAATTGCTTCTTCCTCTCATATGTTCCTTGGGCCCTCTCCTTCCTCTTATTCTCTAGAACCTGTTGTCCAGACGGAAAATTGTAATTACACAAATTTGATTGTCCAGACGGAAAATTGTAATTACACAAATTTGAAGGGTGACCAGTTATTTAATTTATGTTTTAGCACTAATTGTAACCAAGCAGTTAAAATTCAAAACAGCAGAGGATGACACCATATTACATACAAAATCAGAATAAAAATGAAAGCCAGATAGTACAGATAATTATTCGAAGTGATTGCATCCCCCTCCAAAAAATAATATTAACCTTTTAGGCATTTAGCACACACATAACAAGGCATCCTATAAATGCTGAAAAGGTTTGACTTAGAACCAAAAAAGCTCCCATCATATTGCAATTCAGAAGTCAAAACCCTAGGAAAAGTACTAACCCTACTACCATGTATGAATATGGTAGGTATGAATATAGTTAGTTACGAGATAGGGTAGGTGTGAGGATTACCTGTCAGGGCATCAACATACCAATTTAATGTTAAAACTTTAAATAATTTAATGTTAAATGCATTTTTTTGGATGATAAGTATAACCTGTAGCCACTACTTGAGGGTATGCACAGGGTAAACACCACCTTGTGACCCGAGCGGTATGCAAAGGACAACGAGGAAGGTCAATAAGCCGCTCCAGTTGGCCGTCGAACTTATATCCTTGCGGTTACTAAATAAGTCAACACCACAGCCAATAGTGGCAGGTATTGTATCCTATACATACTAATGTGCAGGGATTGGACAGGAAAAAGATCAAGGATGAAGAAGAGGGACAGGGCGCAGGGAACAGATTGTTAGCCCCCTACAAGCTAGCTCACATTGTCATTACTAGTCCAAATGCCTTAATTGAATAATGCAAATTAGTTGACAAATTAAAACAAATACAAAAGGCACAATAAAAAAGAATTCATTTAGCACAGTCACAATGCAATAATTCAATAACAATTCCTAATTATTTGAAGAAAAAAAAATCAAAAAGTTACCTTGATGGTGTCATAGTGGTTCCAGCCGACCTCAGAGGAAAGCTTACCCAGCAAGCAGTACTTATGCCCAGCCTGGAGCCTCAAAACCCTGCGTAGTCACAATTTCAAAACATTAATTAAACCAATCAAAGGAAGAAAGCTTTTATAGGAATGAGTGAGAGAGGATGGAGTAGTAAACTCACTTAAGGGCATCAGGTATAACCATTCGCTTAACCTTATCATACGGCGGAGGAACACCCTCGTAGACCTTCAATCGAGCCAGAGCGGCAGCTCCTCTCTTAGTCTTGTGCGGAATCATTCTATTCATTACAATTAGTCAAATCACACAAAAAGTTCAATTTGCAAAATTAAATTCCTATAGATATGCAGAAAAACAAACGTACAAAGATTGAAAAAAATGCATGTCACATTGACGAAGGATTTCTAGAGCAAAAACTTACCCTCGGATGGTGCGCCAGAGAATCTTAGATGGTGCACGGAAATGGATGGGACCGTGTGAGGGCTTGGTGTTCATGCGCTTGCGGAGGAAGCGGTGGTACTTCATTTTCTGACGGACAAGGCCGCCGGAGAGGCAGATTTCTTCGCAGCGGACCACCACCACACGCTGTCCATTGAGCAGCTCCTTGGCCAAGATGGATGCCAGACGTCCCAACATGTGGTGCCTTGCGTCCACCACCACTCTCCGAGCGCAGATTCCCGATCCGGACACCATTTTGCTACTTACCTCGCCGGAAAGGAGTTGTTGTCTCGTTGAGCTCAACTGCTGTGTGAATTGTGATGTATGTTAAGAGCTAGGGTTTATCTAACCTAATGTTTTGCTTATGGGCCAAAGAGGTTGAACCGGGAGCTTGGGAAGAAACTTGGGCCGAGTATTGCCGGGATGGCAAATTATGCTGTGCATCCCTATGCACCATGCATGGTGCATACGGATGCCAAAACGACGTCGTTTTAATAAAACGCGCGTCTTCTTAAAAAAAAATCAGATTCGATTCTCAGCAACAACATATGAACTAAAATTCCATAATCGATAAACTAAAATTCCATAATCGATGAACTATAATTCCATAATCAATGAACTATAATTCCATAATGAATGAACAATATAATGTTGTTGCTGGGAATCGAACCTGAATTTTTTTTTTTTAAAGAGAGACGCGCGTTATTTAATAAAACGACGTCGTTTTGGCATCCGTATGCACCATGCATGGTGCATATGGATGCACAGCATAACTATTGTTCCGTGATATAACCAGCAAATTATTGTGTAGACCATGGTCCACACAATGTTATGTAGACCATAATAAAATGTACATTTTTAATATATATTAAATGTACATTATTTTTGTACTGAATATACATTATACAATATAATATACACTTAGAACAAAAATAATGTACATCCCTTGAATATAATGTACATTATTTTATACTGAATATACATTATTTTTATACTAAACAAAACATGGTCCATACAACTTGTGTGGACCAATGATTGTAACCATAAGTGACTGAACTTGATGGCCCAATTACCTATCTTTCGTAGTTTCTAAAGTTAATTGAGAATTGAGAGTACACTGTGGTCCTGAGTACACAATGCAGTGTGGACCCTGGTTCAATACACAGAATGCATGTTCATAATCTAATCTAAAAACATAATAAGTCTCAATCAAAGTTATATCCCTCATTTATGTTAATGTTTTTAATGCTAATCATTTTGTACATTGTGCTTTTAGAGTTGTACTATATAATTTTTTGGACAAAAATACCCCTACCGTTATAACTTCCGTTATCTTTTCCTTTATTGTTACCATGCACATGCATCCACCATATATTTTCTTATATTCTTTAATTATAATAATAGTTGTAGAAATTATATATTGAATTATTATAATAAATAAATTTTATTTCATATAGATTTTAATTGGTAGGGATTTGTTAGTTATTTTAAAAAATATAAATATTGGACATATGTTTTTGCGCATCACGCATAGAAAAGACTAGTATGTATAATATATACACATAAACACAATATAATGAATATGAATTTTGTGTATTCTGAACATGGATTCTGTGCATTATAAACATGAATTTTGTGTATTATATAGCTGAGGGCACATAAACATTTAATATAATACACAGAATTCATGTTCATAATGCACATAATTCATGTTCATCATATCGTGTTTATATGTATGTGTATTATGAACATGAATTTTGTAGATCATGAACATAAATTTTGTACATAAATTGTGGTTTTAATAGGTGTATTCTCATTTTATTTTGGGACAGCAATCAAATAAGTCCTCTTGTGTAATTAGGATTTTAAGCTTTGAAAATGCTCTAATAAGAACTTCAAACTTATAAAAAAAAAAAAGGTACAATTATCACTGTTTTGTATGTTATATTCTGATTAATTGCATAATGTTAGATTCTTAAAGCTAATTTGACAAGTTGACATGAGTTCTATATATCTTTTTTAAATTGCACATTTAAATATAGTTGGAGATTTACCACATTATTAACACTCTCGAAGGGTTAAGGCTAGAATTCCAAAATTTTGTCACGAATTACATGCCAAGGGACATTTTCTATGAGGCCTAGAGAGATAACCAAGATGTGCATCAAGATTTTGTGTATGAGAGTTAAAATTGAGAGTAGAAAATAAGAGTACATATAGTATTTTCCGATATGCATACTCTAAATTCTATGCCACTTGATCATGTGCTTTCCATGCAAACATTCATGTCAACCTTTTAAAAAATAAATCAATAACTCACATAAATGAACTAACATTTTGGGTTGTATGTTTCTATTAGTGTAATGTATATGATTAAGACCCTTCTCAACTCTGAGAGAGTGAAAGCTAATTAAATAGAGTTTTGGAAAGGAAGATAACATCAAGTGGGTAGGTATCAGTAAGCATCAAGAATGACCCACTAAGGCACTAACTATGAATAAACTTATTGCAAAATCAATGAAAACAACAGACACACCCAAAACCATAATTGAAGTCACAAAACATGTGTATCCATTACGACAAAACAAACCATGATTGAGCAGAATAGATGAAAACAAAGAAGTAATTTTGGGTAATGAATTGGAGGTGGGGGGAGGGGGAAGGGGGGAGCTAATGAATGGAGTAAACTCTTATTCAGATTCCTAGCAGTGCAAGTGTTTAAGCTGATTGCTTGGTGTAGAAACGGATGCCAACCGCGACACCCAGAATCATCAAAGGAAGTAGGAATTGCAAGATCTTGACGAGGAACTCTGGCGTTTTGTCCTGGTTGTAGTGAGGCTGCTTGGGCGGTGTGTACTTGGTGTTGGCGGGAATGGTTGAAGAATCAATATCACCCACTAACATCTCATCCAACATTGCCCGGGCGCTGCTGCTGTGGCCAATATCCTCAAAGTCATCAGTTGCATCCTTTCCTGCAAACAAGGAATCATCTTAGAGTGACGAGGGAAACACAGTGTGCGCAATTGATAAACCCCGCTTTGTGACTCTAACTAACAAAGGATCATAAGGAAGTAAACCAGCCTAAGTTACCCATAGCTAACTGGCTCAAACCAAGAAAGCCAATAGGCCGCTCAGCTAAGAATCAACTTGTAACCTTGTGGTTACCAAGTCAACACCCTGACAATGTTCTCTCAGCTGCTAAGATTGTGTATCAAAACACTTGACTATGTTATGATCCAACATTACAAAACCTAGACACACATGTTTGCAACAATGCATATGTAGATAATTGAGTACAAGATCAATTTTAAAACATTTAGGGAGCATTTACTAACTAGAGAAAGGAAAGCAAACACCGAAGAATTGAAGTAACCTACAACTTTAAGATATTTTATTAACCATTCAGTATATAAAGGAAAACATCATACCGGTTGCTGACAACAAAACGTCATCACCACCTGGATGATCTTCCAAGAATTTTGTCACATCATATACCTGCCAGAAGCCCAGAACACACAATAGCAAGGTCAACATGTTGAGAAAGCTCTATCGTAGGATAAATCCATTCATTCATTGGGGGTGGGGGGGATCAAGCCAAATAATGCTCCTGCTGAAAGAACACTTTCTTGCATTGAAGCAGTAATGTGGGATAGGAAGAAACTAAGGGTGATAATGCAGAAATATCTAGTCTGTTCAAATGATTGATTCCCACTGTTAATTTTGAAGCATATAGATAGGCAGTTGGCTATCTATATAATCCTAAATGCAGAACTAAATCAAATACTAAACTGGATACAATTATTTCAACAATCTGTAGCAGAAGCTCACAAAACCTAAAACAAAAAATACATGTTTAACAACCAATTCCTAGTACAACCAATGATGAATGACCTTAACTTGCAGATTGTCAAACATATTTTTAGCAGCATCAGATCCAAACACACAAACACATAGCAATCAAAAGCCAAACAATCTGATTAACCAATAATGGAACACAATCCTGCACATTTATAAAAAGGGTTTGCCATGGAAACAGAGTTACGCACTCAGAAAATCACACATAGAGAGAGAGGCCAGAAAACGAATAAGAATCCAGTAAAACACATGTGCAAAACAGAGGTGATAGAGATTGAATCTTTGATAGATCTAAGAAATAAAGGGCAAATGCAAGTCCGACCCACTTAATTGCAAAACAAAAGCTACACGATTTCCACGGAGAGGGGAATATTAACCTTGCCGCCGATGACAAGCCAGCAGTCCTTGTTGTGGTTGTGCTCGGAGACCTCGGCCAAAGTAAAGACCCTTTTGGCACCCATTTAGACACGCCGAGAGAAGCAACAAAAAATGGTGTTTGCTAATAAGCAAAATCAAGCAAGTACGAAGAAGATCTGAAGCTCTTCAAGCCAGAAAAGCTTGAAGAGTTAGAGAGAGCAGGAATGATGTGAAGTGTCAACGTTTTTTGGTGAGACGAGGAGTGTGGTTGGAATGCTTATGCGAGAAAATAAAAGGAGTGGGGGTAGGTTTGGTTGGTCAATTGAAAGTTAGATTTTAAGCGGATTCATGGTTGGTGGGAGGGAGAAAGATGGCCATGGGCCCCCCCTTGCAATCTAATCTAATTTTATAAGAAAGGAAAATTTTAATATCATATCTCAATTATCAATGGTGTAAATATTATCCCTCATTTTTTAAAACGGTACATATATTGCATATCACGTATTGTAAATGTTACTCATTACAGGGCGTTTGGTTGGAGGGGGAGAATTATGTGGGAAGGGAATTGTAATTCCATGGGAGTTGAATTACTGGGAATAAAGTGGGAATTTAAATTTCAGTGTTTGGTTGACAGGAATAGAATTACTGGGAATTTCAATTCCAATGTTTGGTATACATGAGAATTGAAAGGGAATAAGTAGTATAAAGTCAAAAATGTCCATTATTGTTGTTAGACATTAATTTTAGGATAAAAAAAAGGCAGGGGTAATTTTGACTCATCACTATCTTTTTTTCCCAGGAATTAAAATACCAGGGGGGACATGGGATTTTAATTCCATGAAAATGGGGGAATTGCAATTCCATGGAATTGCAATTTCCTCCAACCAAACTACGGAATTTAATGGTCTTTGGAATTATGTGGGAAGGAAATTTAAAATTCCTCCAACCAAACGCTCTGTTAATTTTTCTTTTGGTACGAGAATGATAATATATATACAATTTTAAAAATTAAAAGACAATATTTACACCATGAATAATTCTACATTGATATTTAACATATTATGAATGTACATAAATTATAATTTTTCTTTATAAGAATATTAAATGGAATAAATGC